GTACTCAAGTCTTCCTGTTTCAGCAAGTAAAGCTTTGTGTTGGCTGCGACCAAAATCAAAAACAGTCAGAGCCTTCAAAGCAGCAGACATGATGATTTTTTTTCCTTTCAACTCGACAGAGCCTTATGTTTGTTTACGAGGCCAGATTACCAGAAGATGACCTGACACGATGAACACCAAAAAAGACATCATTTGTTTGGTGATTTTATTTTGTCTATGCCTTTTGAATCAGTTTATGTTTCTGATTATTCTGCTCTATTATCTCTCTTGCTGAAATGGAGATTGAAATGGAGGCAGTGTAATCCATTCAACCAGCTGAGAACGTCTTTTCAAGCAGAGCACAAAAAGCACGAGAACGAGGACAGAAAGATGAAGAAACCTCATGGAAGTCTGAGCGGAGACTTCGAATCGAGGGGGATGCGTTTTGTGCTGTAGGGGAAAAAAATGGTTGGGGAGGGGGAAAAAAAAAGTGATCCACTGCCAGATTTCTCTGTCAAACTTATACTCGCACACATAAATACACCCACATGTAAACACATGCGTGCGCACCCACCTAGTGTTTTGAAGTGCACAGCCCTACACCTCCAGGAAAAGCACATCCCATATCTGCTGCTTTGCTTTTATTCCACCCCGTACAGCAGTAACAGATACGATTAGTGGGCTTTAATGAGCTCTGTGGAGATGAGGGTTCTGCTCGCCGATTCACAGCTGCCGGGCCCCCAGGGGGTTCAGTTCCACCAAGCCAGTGATGTGTGCTGTCTCTCTGCCTGCACCATCTCTCTGTCCTCATCCCCCACCATGAAAATTTCGTGTGGGTATCGGAGGCAGGGTGGAGTTGTGTGGATTTGTGGCTGCATAATGTGTCAGCATGTATCCGCTGCATAAAGATAACATGTTATTTAACTGTGAAAGCTAAAATCTCTCCTGTGACATATTGTGCCTTATCAATTTGTCATGAAGGAATAATTAGCATTCCTTCAAAAACAAAGATGTAAGTTTTTTTGTCACTTTATTAAAAATGATTTACATGGAAAATATAACTGTAATTATTATGTCAGCTGTCGTCCTTAGTAATGATTACAATCACAATGAAGTGCTTTTAAAAAGAAGACCACATTTCTGAATGTTATATTACACACAAACATTCAAAAATACGTAGTCGATTTTATTTCACTGATTGTGTTTTTAGAGGTTTCACATTGTATTATGTATGTCATCTATCAAGAAATTTCCTGTTTTACAAATGTGAAGTACAAATCTGTAGTATATATATATATATATATATATATAATATATATATATTATATATATATATATATATATATATATATATATATATATATATATATATATATATATATATATATATATATATATTATACAATTTATTGCAATGTTTCATATAAATTGTCAGGAGCCAAAACATTATTTTATGATAAAAGATTTTCTTTTTTCAAATTTTTCATTCATCTTGTGGTGCGACAAAATGATGTAAGAGCCTGTTATTCAATGTTTTATCTTGACTTTTGCCAATAGGGGGCAGTATTGGATAGCGCTGGTAATAGCTTGTCCTCTGAGGAACTGTTTGGAGTCAATAGACTAAAACATTAAACTTTAAAATGTTATGATTGCCACAAAATATAATCTTTCAAAGTCTGTCATTTTTTTTCTTGACCTCTTGAAATGTATTTTTTTGCAATGTTTATTATGTGTTTCTTCTGTAGATATTATTCTGCAGATCCTGTTGTTTTAATTTTGCAACTTACGTTGGAGAGATTTGAGCTTATGTATGGTGGAAAAAAAGTAAAACCATTGTGAAAGGTATTAACTTTCACAGTAGAAGTGACTGTTGAATACAATGATGTAAAACAAAGTCTATAAAGACTATTAAAGCTGTTTTACTTTAAAATATTTTTAGTAGAAAATGGCAAATAACCTTTCAGAAATTAAACATTTTGCAGCTGCGTATTCAGTTTTGTTGACCGAACAAACAGGGTTTTGGTAGAGCACACCTGAACCGATATAAACAATGACATCATCTGCAAAAAATTTAATAATTTCTACAAGTTTTTTGTTTTATCGCTTAATTCTTATTGGTTGTGCACCTTTTTCAATTAGGTTGTAATGAAATGAGAACGTGACACCCTGAAGCACTTGGTCCTCCGTTCTTGGTTGTAATTGGGTGCATTCACATTTGTGTTCAAAATATTCAAGTAAAATAAATGACATGAAGGTCAAATTTCAACTTTGTAAATATAATTTTTTTGTACAGAGCCAGTCTATACCTGTGGCTCTCTGTCATTAGTTTCATATTTGCTGAAGGCAAGCTGCAGGTGAAATCTATTTTAGGCTTTACATGAAGACGCAAAATGACTCTCACTATAGTTTGTTGTATTTTTCAATCTTGCTGAAGGCAGTGACATCTTTTGGATCTCTAGTTACCAGTGTTGCCAGAGTTGCCTAATAATTTATCTGTTCTCATTTAAAAAGTAGCTTAGGTGCAGTGCTGATTACTTAATTTTTAAAAAATATTTAAATTGGATTACAAGAAATGTCGATGTCCATTAGCACATTTGTACACCTTATAATGAGGGTGGTTCAGTCATTGTCATTTAACTTATACTTTTAGATTAAACAGTTGTAACTTGTTGCTTCAGAGACTTGATGATTACCAGAAAGGTAATCAGTATTGGATAATCAATATGTAGGATAAAGGTCAGCATTTCAGGGGTTATGGTTCATTTAAACAAAATAGTGGTATTGATTTTGGCACATAACGTAGCTTTTGTGATCAATGACAATAGATTTTAATTGGATCAATATTATGTGCTTTGTCTTAATGTTATATATCCTGTTGAAATTGTTTTCATGTTATTCGCAGTGAACTGAATGAGGAAAATCTGATTTTCAGAATCACATTTCAACAATTTGATTGATGTGATATTTTCACAGACTGGTAAAAATACAGATTTCCAAAGTGCTGTAAATAAATACAGAACATGAGTGAAGAAATGTTGATTTATGTTTGCCCATTTAACTACTTACGGCTAAAGTTAGCTCTTTTATTAATGCTTTTTAACCTGTCATTAAATGAAAAGGAAATAAGGTTGAGGCCAACCAAGAGACATTTTCTTGGCTAATTGGTTTCAACAGGATATATAACATGGTTTATATTTGGATAAACTAAAATACAAGCTGTAAAATGTAATGACTGCCATATAATCCTTTTAAGCCTCTCGTTTATATGTTCTCACGTTGCCATTTATCTTTTTCTTTTGTAAGTTTTTTTGTGTGTACATGCTGTGAACTAGTCGGTGCAGTGATAGACGGTGTAGGGATTAGTTTAAAGATGAAGTGGACTGTGTAGGTGAACCTAACATGCAGCATTTTCCAGCCTACTGTCACCAAGGGGGGGAACTGATTACCACATTGGACCGTTTTGTTTTTCTTTGCGATCAAGTGGTTGAAATGTTGTGGGCTCTTGATGTCATTTTTATTTATTTATTTTTTCCATTCAACATTCCACCGCCAGTGAGATATTCTTTGATTTCTAGTCTTGCCAAGTAGAGGGCACTGTGATTGTGCAGTAAGAATTGCACCCCACAAATCCCGACCGAAACCGGATCCACACACTTTCTGATGTTATGAATTAGTGAATTAATGCTGATATTCCATAAAAAAGTGAATATGTGGCATTTTGTCTTTTAATCACCACAAATTAAATAAAAATGAAATGAAATTGAGGCCGAAACTCCCATTTATGCACGTTCTGTTGTCCATCTTTTATGACTGAAGAGATTTATCAGACACTCAGACTGACTAAAGTGTCTTGAAATTCAGACGACAAATGCCCCTGTTCACATATTCATTACTCTGACTTCTGCCTGACTCTCACCTCGGGGAGGGACATGGGCTTCCTCTTCGGGTCCTTCGTTTCCTTCTTATCTGTGCCGCCTTCAATCCCAACTTGTCAAATTTTCTCCTCGGAGCTTGTTTGCTTGGAAATGTCAGCAGTCGTGGTGATAGAATTTTGTTGTTGCGCAACACATTAATCTAGCCTCTCTCGCTGTCTCCCCTCTCTCTCTCTCTCTCGCTCTCTGTCTATCTCTCTCTTTCTTTCTCTATGCATGGGCGTTTGTGTCTGAAAGAGGCTTTACATTTGCATCCTGAAAATACCTTATCCAGCTGCTTGGCCTCAAATCATCCTACTCACTGGGATTAGGCAGGTCGCATTTCGTTATTTGGCAGAAATGTGCCAGCAGAGGATTTTTAGCTAGACATAATAGATTTAATGGCTCAAAGTTTGCATAAAATCACCTCTGGACAGATGGCCAATCCTTAAACCTCATTTCTGACTGACATGGCTATAACTTTAGAATAATTTAAATTCTGGAAAGAAGAGGGATGATGGATAATGACACTTCAGGGGTTAGCGTAGCAACTCATGTAAAATTCAAAAGATGTTTGCTAAACCCCCACAAAGATATGGAAATCACCCGTTCCTCCACGCCTTCATCTATCCTGAATTTCCACCAGAAATATTTGCCGTGACCCTTCGCAGACTAGAGGTCACTCAGTCGTAAATGGGAAGTGTGATTAGGAAGTGTGTATGAGAGAGAGAGGGGCAGGAAGTACAGTAAGGGTGGTGAGTTTTTAATGAAGGAGAGGAAACCTGGAAGGAGAGGCTTGCCAGGGACACACAGGGGAGAGAACAGGAAAACAAAAACAGGATGGCTCTCAAGCTGAAGTGGAACATTCTGAACCAGAGATCATGTCGCCGGAGAAAGTTGGTGACAGCAGAAAACTAGTTTGTGGTCGCTGTTATTTGTGTGCTATAACATATTCACAATATATTTACAGAATACAAGTAAGAAAGACAGTTATGTTTTTTTCACAGTGTGGTGCTCGTAAATCTCCCTGTATTAGAAACAAAAGCTGTACTAAAGAAGAAACAAATATAGAATCAGTTTATATGATTTTATGTCTGTGTCGCCCTGTAGCTGTGCAGTCGCTGAACAATCTGAACGACCAGATTGCAAGCTTTATGGTGACCAGACCCAAATCCCTGGAGCAGCAGGAGCAGGCCTACTCTCCTCCGGAGAAGGAGACCCTGCAGAAGTCCATGAACCTGATGCGGCACCTCCTTGTTGACGCCCAGGTACAAATTATTATTTTTTCTTTCTAGAATTAAAAAAGAAGGCAGGTGGTTAAAGTAATTTGCAGACTTTTTGACTCTAAAATCCAAATCTATGCAAAAAAATCTCCCTTTTTTGCATTTTGTCATTTTGTAACCTCAAGCTTAAGTGTAAGTGATTGGGATAAGAGATGGGAGATATTTAGTCTTCCATCTTAAAGGGAATATTATCAGCCATGCTTGTTATGGCTGATACAAAATAGTGCATTGCTGCAAAGGGGAAAATGATACATAGATCTAGATTTATTTTGCAAATAAAAATCACAAAAGTGTGGCATGCATTTAAGTCTATACCAACACTTATTGAAATTATTTCAATTCGGTCAGTAGGAGGAGGCTATAATTTTCAGGTCATGCAATGGATTATCAATTGGTTTCAGGGCTGTGCTTTGATATGATCTATTCTTTTAGTTGGTCGTATATTTAGAGCTGTTGTAATTCTGGAAAGGTAATAAGTCTCTGACTGGTTTTCATGCAGGTTTGCCTTTCAACTTCAGCCAGTTTCCTGTTAAAACTAGTTGGCTAGCGTTGCTTTTAAAGAACAAAAGTCAACAGGATGTTCATATGTGTAAAATTATGGAGAAATTTTTTTTTATTGTGTTAAATTGCAAATTTTGTTTTGTATGAGCACATCACATGCCTCATTTTGCATCAGTGCAAATTCTTTCTGAGGGTAAGCAATTATGTTTATAAAGCCTTTATATCAGAGTGTCAAATTAAATGAAAATGTTGACTGTAATGAGATGAAACTACAAACTTACACTTCCTCCAGTCTGCCAATTTATTATATTTGGCAGTGACAGGTCTGCTACATGCACCACTCTTTTAGCAGCTCCTGCAACTGTCAATTTTGTTGTGATCTCCCAACCACCACGGATGGCAACTTTTAATTGAAACTCCTGTCACGTCCCGTCAGCTCAGAAAAATTAATTTTCAGATGGATTAATTGCCCAGGTGAGAAGCTGAAGGGGAGCAGAAAGTGTTTCTGCAATTTGGTGTGGCTGCTTTCTGCTGATAAGTCAATTAGCTGAATCGCAATTACAATGTGAAAGAATAAAATGGGGTGATGCTATTGTCTTTTCCTCAGCTTTTTCCTCATGTTTCGTGCTTGTTATGGCTGATTAGTTCATATAACCTTTGTTAGAAAGGGCGGCTAAAAAGGAGGACATGAAACTCCAGATTCCTGAGAGATTAAATTAGTGGAGGGAGGATTCATCAAATGTAAGTGGCAACGTGTGATTCAGTTGTTTCCTTTTAATTTGCATGAATTTGTTTTCTTTGTCTTGCAGTGTCGAACCTTTTCAAAAGGATTTTGATAGTAAATCAAATGCAGGAACGACGACTTTGGAAGTCATGTAAACTGTGTTAACCTGCTATTTAAAAAAATAAAATAAAATGCTCCCTCAAAAACAAACTAACTTCTCTACTTGTTATCTTTGAATGTTACAAAACAGTTTTGGTCTCAAAGTCAATTGAAAATCAACTGCAGGCCTGAAGACAAGACATGCAGAGACTACTGAGTGACTGGTGGTGACCCTGAATGCTCCTTCCTATTTTCACCTTATCGGTGTCGCTCTTTCATTCTTCCTCCAAAAGACAGGTAGCCATGGTGGCTGTTAATTTACTCTCTCAGGTATTCTGCCTGCAATCTTTCTCCTCTGAACATCATTCTTCTCGTGCAGGTAATGTGTCATCAGCCAGTATCAATTGGCATTCATGCCCTTTTGGTTTCCTCAAATCAAACGGCTTCATGGAATATTAAGTAGCTGATGTCTCAATGAGGAAACAATTAAAAACCTGTGCCGTTCGTAATGCCCAGCCTCTTCTACGGAGGCTGTAGTGTAAAAAAAAAAAAAACACTAATAATAGTAACAAGACTAAGGTAGAACTAAATGATTTATAATGAATCATATTAGGTTAATTGGTTTTTAAAATTGCCTTTAGGTGAGAGAGAGAGTGTGTGTGTGAATGGCTGTGTGTTCTGTGGGTCTCTGTGTTTCCCTGTGATGGACTAATGACCTGCTCAATGACCTCTATATGTGTCTACCAGCCCCAGACACTTTGTATGGATAAGTGCGTATTGACGATGGACAGACAATTCATAAATATTATGAATTTAGCTCTCCTTCATATAGCTGGCCATTTACAAGCTTTACGGTAATCTTAGCATGAAGCACAAGTTCATGGACGAGCCGTGATGAGACAATTATGTACACAGGTTAGATTTTCCTTCTTTTTTTCTGATCCAGGAATGTCGCATTAAATATCTGGTATAATAAAGCCATTTAGGTCTCTATCTTTTATGTTTGTTAATAGTTTTCGTCAGTGTCGTTCCTAACTCCCCTGCTCCCTCTGATTGAGGTCCAGAATCAGAAGGTACCCCGCTGACCAAACTGCTTAATTAAAACGCATTTAATGTCTTAAATAAAATCCCTCCATCTCAAACTGAAGCCTCCTGACATACCACTGGAGTTTATTTACTGCTATTGTCCGTCTGGTCAGGGCTCACTGCAGAGCTGCTTCACGTGGATCCTCCATCCACACCAAAGGCCCATCTGGTATGTATCCTGCAGTCAAGCTGGGACGAGATGGGCTGCTGAGCATTTTCTACCGACCCTCCCTCTAATTCTCTTCTCCATGCTGTACTCAGCTGCGACTGCATTAGTTGAGCTGTCAGTCATCACGGGCGGGGAGAACGGGGTTCCTCTGAGGAGGGGAGAAGGGTATGGTTTGGGCATAGGGGGTGTGCAAACGCAGTTAGGAGGCCATTTAAAGGTGACTTTGAGAGTGACTAAGAAGAGACGGAGATAAATAAGATCTGTCTGACCCCCTGCAACCTCCACTTCACTTTAATCATCAGTGGAGCACTGCAGACACGCCTGTCAAGCTCAGAGGGAAAAAAACAAACAAAGCAAAAGACAGTAAAACAAATAAGACACGTCTTTGAGTCTGGCAGATATTCATTTACCAAAAATGTTAGCCTTGAAAACAATTGCAGGGATGATCAATACTACGTGGAAGGAAATTTTCCAAGGAAGAAAAAAAAATAAGTTTGCTGTGATGGCATTTTAAAAATATATATATATTGAATGTAGAGAAATTGATTTTCTTAGCTTGACCATTCTTAGAGGATCAATATCAGAATGCTGTGACATGTTAAAGTAAGATTTCTTAGTGACATCGTTACAGTTATATTCCTCTGCCAATATCTGTATAGAACATTAGACCAAAACTCCATAAACCAAACAAAATCCAATTGAAAATCTGGTTCAGGACTTTTAAAACTGATGTTTACATACTTTCTTTAGATATGCAGCGCTGGTAGAAACATAACCCATAAAACTTCCACTTCAGTTATGTCCTGGTTTTCTGTTCGTCACATAAAATCCCAATAAAATTTGTTGAGGATTTTGGTTACAGTTTGACAAATTGAAAAAGTTAAAGGCTTATAAAATTCAGTAAATGAGATAAGCGATGAGACTAAATATTTCAACACCAAAGGCCGACTTACTCGTTTGTTAGCAAATTGTTCTGGATTTGTGACGTGGGTCGAGGCGGAGCACAAAGAGGAGACAGCAGACTCACTGGGTGTAGGGGGCGAAGGTGGGGGGTAGAAAATGTGTGACGGGTCTGGCTGGGTCAGTCTGGCTCTCTCTCCTCCTGTGGCCTCAGATGGCCCATCAGAGCACGTTTCTTTTACCCATGCATAATACATCACCCAGGTTCCATCTGCCCTCTCAGCCTGTCCTCTGACTTCGTAGACCTGTATTAATAGCCTCTCGTCCAATCACTGGCAAGCCATAGAAGCAAACATGTACCATCATTGTCACTTGGTTCAATCCTGAAGTGTGACAAATGAGGGTGAAATTTGGTAATTTGGTTGAAAAGGAGCTTTTCTTCTCTCTTTCATCTACAACTGAAAGGAGTCAAAGTTTATGTTTCACTGTCCTAAGCAGCCAACAGTTTTGAGATCCTACAATTATCTCAAACAATATCAAAGTGCAAAACATTTTTTGGTGTTTCAAAATATTTCTAAACAGAGGCTTTACTAAGGAAGTTGTTTAAATCTTTATTGGAAATAGCTCCTGATTTCTGCTTCTGTTACACTTTTCTCAAAGTCATAATTGTCAGATTTCAGAGAATATTATTCATCATGGGAATATTTACATAGACAAGGTCAGACCCTTGTCATTCTTAATGCTGCTGTCGTCCAAGATGCCTCACTCAAGCAATTTCTACAGACGTCTCCTGCACTGACAACATATCGAGAATGAGTTCACAGTGTCATGTTTTAACCATTCTGTTCTTTCGTTTTAGACGGAGCAGGTACCAGTAGAATTGAATTGTCGTAGGATGCATGATGGTGCGCCTGTAAATGGTGGACTTCTGTGTTGAGTAGATTAAAAATGACAGTTAATCTTGTAAGGCAAAAATTGAAGGCATTTCATTACAGATGCATGTTTCTGAATCTTGCCTGAGGAGAGAAGAGTAATGTTAATAATACCGGAGTTATAATGGTGATTAAAGTTATTTATTATACACAATAAATCTTCTAAAAAGACATTTAATTATGTATCAGTGAAATTACATGGATACATTCTGTCATTTTGCAGTTGGCGCCAATATTTGGACACAGCATGCTGCCTAACTGGATTCACTGAACACTGAAAATTAAGGATGACAAACACAAGTCTTTCACACAGATGATGGATGAAGAAAAAATAGATGTATTATGTAATAATCCCCACTAAATGCACTAACCCAAACTGATTGCAGGGATCGGAAACAGTCGTTCCTATTGGAGACTGTGTGTGTCCAACAATACAAAGTCAAACTCAGCCTATTAGTGGACCTCCTTCATGTCACCAGTGCCCATATCCAGTATGATATGATTACATATCATACTGATCCAGAAAGAAAAAAATAAATAAACAACTCTGTTTTGAGCCTCTTTGTACAAGAAA